GATGTTTAGCTGATATTAGTGATTATATCTGTTATAATGGTGACTGGGTAGTGGTGATGTTTAGCTGATATTAGTGATTATATCTGTGTCAAAAGATTCTGCACAAATAATGAACTATCTGAATAATTTGTGAAGATAACACACAGGAACCTTTCCTCTTATTTTTTTTTTTGCTTGTAAGGATCAAAAATTGATTACAATCATTTAACGATGTTAATTAATTGATTAGCAAATTCCACTAATTTCCCAACTCTAAATGGAGATATGGAATTTTTTCATATTTAAGTCACATAAAATAAATCTCACTGAAATTACCAAAGTTGTAAATTACATACCAGATATGGTGATAAGTGCCTATATGTGGGATCATTCAGGAGAAGAATCCTAGAAATATCTGACATGTAAAGCTTCACATTGAAACTAAAATAGAAAATAAAAAACATTTTAATGCTTTTTACAGATGTATTATGAATGAGAAAAGTATGCTAGTTTTGAAAAAAATTAAAAGGTAAGATTAACTGACACTTAAAGTATAACAATGATGCACATGAAAATAATAGGTAAATACACACAATACCATGTTAGGTAATTTACAATACATTTTAAGTCCACACTAATAGAACAGTACTAAATTTACACGGATACTGGTTTCAACGTTTCTTGTGTCCTCTTCAGTTCAATGTTTGATTGTGGGAGAAACACATACACTGTATGCATTTCTCCCATAAACAAATGTTGGACTCAAGAGGATGTAAAATGTTAAAACCAGCATCAATGTAGATTTGGTATTGTTCTGATAGTAGATATTTAAACTTTATTCTAAATGTACATGAAAGTTTGACTGGAATCAATTTAAGATAAAACAATGTCATGTAACAAAATCTGTAGTATGTATTATTTTTTAAGGATCATTATGTGATTTCTACTATTGGATTACATTACTAATTAGTAAAATGAATCATTCAAATGTGTATAAAAATTGAAATTCTTATGTAAGTACACATTATTACAACTTTTGAAAACAGAATTTGTGGAAGCTTTTTATTCACACATAATAAATGTTTAAGTTCAAACAACAGAATATCAGTCTACCATAAGAGAAAACTGATGTTAAAACAGAATTTGTGGAAGCTTTTTATTCACACATAATAAATGTTTAAGTTCAAACAACTGAATATCAGTCTACCATAAGAGAAAACTGATGTTAAAACAGAATGTGCAAGGAGTCTTAAAATAATTAAAAACTTAAAGACTCAGTGAAAAAACAGTTGCATTAAACATTAAAATAATTCACAATGAATTTATCAAATACAATTTAAATAGATGAGGAAAATGGATGAAAAATAAATACTTTCAGAATAAAAAGTGTCAAGCTTTTGCTTTGTGTCATTTTCATAGATATACATTTTAACTCTTTGAGTATGGGTAGATACCTCACACTCAGTACGAACCACCAAAGTAAACATGAGAATATTCATACTGTAACTTTTGATAACGTAGGTGTATTTTCACAAAATTTGACAGATTATCAGTACACATTACATGGTTTTTGTAAGTAAAATATCAAGTTTTTTAATTAAGTATTAAGATTTTTTCTTTTAGAATGTTGACTATCCAACATGCAAAGTAATCTTAATTTTAAGACTAAAAATACTTTTGTCTGAAAATTGTCAAATTTCATTTGTATAATCTCTATAACCTCCTACATAACTACTAAACTTTTTTTTGTTTTTTAGAAAAACTTTATATTACCTCTGTTATTTTTTCTGCCTTAACTCTATACGAGGTGGGTCAATTTGACTAACCTCATAATCACCATAAAAACATTAAGAAATAAATTTAAATTACTCTTTTTTTATCTTATAACATTATACATCTATTTATATGAAATAACATAAAACAGGCCTTTACAAAGTAAAAATATCTTACTCTTCCTAGTCTTAGTACTAGCATATCAGTACTTTGTAAAATACAGTGACATTTCAGTTACCATACATTACATGTATATATATATTATTACTATTGTGAAATAAATTTAAATTACTCTTTTTTTATCGTATAACATTATACATCTATTTATATGAAATAACATAAAACAGGCCTTTACAAAGTAAAAATATCTTACCCTTCCTAGTCTTAGTACTAGCATATCAGTACTTTGTAAAATACAGTGACATTTCAGTTACCATACATTACATGTATATATATATTATTACTATTGAGAAATAATTTTTTTAATTTGAGCTATTTTTTTAAAACATAAAACAGTATATAAAAAGTTTATAAAAATCAATGATCTTTACTACACATGACATTACAAAGCTTTTTTGTACTCGTGCATCATACCTGCTAAGCCTCCTGGAATTTTGCACAAGGAGGATGTAAAACGAAACAACAAAAAGTTATAAATTACTACACTGATGCCACAAAATTCCACTGTAATTTATCAGGTTTAACTAAGCTGTATTTGGGTCTCAAAAATCTCAGTTCTGATCAGCATACCACCTTGATCACCACTCTTCAGACTCTGCAACAGTTAGAACCACTTTATCCACATAACTACTGACAGGATTACAAAATGAACACTTTTGATTGGTTATACACATATGCATAAGAGTAGTAGGCATAGGTAATCAAGTATTTTCAAATTTGAAAGAGGTGGGCAGGGAAACTGTGGTAAAATTAATATAATGATATCTCAGCAAATAGAAAATGTAGGAGGTTCATTTTTTACATTCTAGCTTGTCAATATTGGTAATTTGAGTTTCTAATTCATTAAGAATTGTAGATGTAACATTTTATGATTCCCACAATACAATCTAAGGAAAAACAGAACAATGTACCATTTGACACACACATATATATCCACACACACACACACACACAC